TAAATCAAGCGTGGTGTGCATATCGATGCTAATTTAATTTAAACAATAGATTTAGGTACAAAAAAAAAAAGTTTAATTGGTTGATTGGATTGTGAGGAAAAGCTGATTCTACTGATGGGTGCTCATTAACATGCGGCTTGGTGCTGGAAATGATTGTTTTCGTCCACTAATCAACGGCTGTGATGATCATTTATGGAAAGCAGCACCTGTTTGAATTTCCACCCCACAACCTATATTTTTTAATTATTCGATTTTTTTAAATGAAAATTTAAAAAAAATTGAGGGCAGGTCAGCATTTGGATGGGCGTGGCAGTTCCCAGGCTTGCAATCTGCCCGCACGTACAAAATCGACCTAAATCACCAACGGACAAGTTTATGAACTTGCGTGTTTTCTGGTTTCTGTTTGTTCGCGTGTGATTAAATATGATCTTATTTTGTAAATCACACTATGTTCGGAATAAATCTCAATCAAGGTTAGAGAATTCGAATTGGAAACCTCCTTTGAAAAGCAAAGAAATAGAGCAGCGTTGACTGTAATTGCCTTATTAGATAAGGCCAACTAAGAGCCCAAAGTACAAAACTTGCAGTTTCAACACCCTCCTATCGTTTTAAAGAAAAACTAACATATGTTTTTTTGTGTTATACTTCTTTATTTTTATTTATAAATTATTTTTAATACAGTGAAAAAAATTTTAAAATTTATTAATTCTATCTTAAAATTTAATAAATTCTCAATTTTATCCCTGTATATTTAATATAGTCAATAACATATTTTTTATTTAACATTTAATAGAGAGTAAAAGAAAAATTTTTTGATGAAAATTTAAATATGTGAATTATAAATATGACCAAAATTTTTTCTCTCTCCACCTTACAAATAGTACTAGAAGGAGTACGAGCAAAATTAAAAATTTCAAATAACATTTATCACATTTTTTATCAAACTATCCCTTCTAAAATCAACGTTTATTTTTACTAGATAAACTTGTTTGATTAATTACAATAGTAATTTAGTCCAAAATTTTTAATTTAAACATAATTATTATATATAATTAACTTTCTTGAATGATATGAGTTGATTATTTTACCTAGAGAAATTTTGAGATAGAATAATATGATTTGTGGCTTTGGGTGTTTTGCCAGTTGATTATCATTAAAAAAAAATTGAGGAAGTACTCCCTTTGGTCTTATTTAATTACAAGGCAGGGAGAGGAGATTTTTTGTTGTCTGATTTATAAGTTATCTAATCACATTTTCAACACAAATTTCCTTCCTATCTTCCATTGAATATTAAAAAAAAAAAATATATTATTAAAGTATGTATATTTAATAGAAGAAAATTTGAAAGTTTGTTAAATTTTAAGACAATATTAATAAATTTTAAAATTTTTCTTAATTCTAATAAATATATTAAAAATGATTTATAAATAAGATAAAAGGAGCATATATTATGAAAAAGGAGGTTATGCTTTTTCCAATATAAAGAGAAATTGAAGTTCTAGTGTGAGAGAGTGAGAGAGAGAGAGAGGAATGCGTCCTTGCAACGAGTGATCAATGAATGGTGCATGTGCACAACCATTAATTAGCATTCAAGACCATTATAACATCCCTAATCATGTACTCCTAAGTAGATAGTTAATGTAAGATAAAATTAATTAATTTTGCTCTAATAAATTGTGATTGCTCTATATATTTAAAATTGTTAGGCTGAAGTATATATTTAGTCTTGTAACTTTATATAAGTTTTCATTTTGATTCCTTAATTTTATAAAGTATTTTTTAGTCCTTTAACCTTAAAATGTTAGTTTTATTACAAAAAAATTTATATATTAAACATCCAAAGTTTGACAAAACAATCTCAAATGTTGATGTATTTTGTTTAATTTTTTAAAAATAATAATAATTGACACAAAAAATAATTATTTAAAACTAATGATGTTAGAGTTAGAGAACTAGAAAAATAATTTTTAAATTTAAAAGATTAAATTAAAAATTTATATAAAGTTATCAGAGTAAAAGTGCATTTTGGCTAGATTGTTGAAAAAAAAATTCTATCCAAACCATAATATAGGTCATAATTAATGCATTTATGGTTTACAAATAATGTTAGGTGAAATCTTAAATTCTTAAAAATATTCATATTTTTTTATTTATACCTTCATTAAATACCCTGTATAAGAACCTTGATAATAATAATTAAAATTTCAATGCATATTTTTTTTCAAGAAGAGTAATAAATGAAGAGGGATATAGTTGAAAAAATAAATATAAAAGTTATTCAATATTCTATATTTTGGGTCAGATAAAATTTTTAAAAGATGTATTATATTGTGGTGAGGGTACGGGGGAGTATATAGTTTTTCAATTTTCCATTCTTTTTAATTAATAATTATAATAAAAATTTTCGCTAAAAAACTACAATAAATTATTGTACAGGCAGGGGCGGAACCACATTGTGCTTGGAGGAGGTGCCCTTGCTCCCCAAGCTCCGTCACATGATAAATAACTACCAGATTACGCAAATATATGTACAGTATCGTACACTATGGAGAGTTATATCTGATTGTTTACGTGACACTGTAAGGTAATATGTCATTGTTGATGTGGCACTGCAAAGATAATAAAGTATGCACTTAACCTTAGAATAAAAATTAGGAACTGCAAATTGTTAATAAGAGTGTTGCCTGTCATGTTTTTATGTTTACTATATATATACAGTCCCTCTATTTTTATTTAAAATAGAGATAAGAGAATAACTTTTTTGTTTCTATTTATAAAGTATGTCATTGATCGAAACCTCTTCATTTATCACTTTATCATGTTATTAGAGCCAGGTTTTAATCCTAAGACCTGTGGCAACTATTGACTGACCACGTTTTAGCTACGATCTTTGAAACTAAAACTGTGGGGCACTCTACGAACGGGACAACAAATGGGTTTTTTTTTTTTTTTGGCTTACCAAAAACTGCATCTCAAATGAAAAGTACGCCCGTATTGTAAGTTGACCATATTCTTCCCCCTCTTTTAGTGGCTCAATGCATATTCAACAATCGTTTGTGTCAAATAACAATAACTCAGCCAGCACGGTTTTAATCACAAGAAATGCGAGAGTACATTTTCCTGTCAGGATGAATCATCTCATTCAAGAAGAGGAAATCTTTGCCACAGCTTAGGCAAGAAGTTCCAACCCTTTCAAAGAGCTTCCCGTGGATTTTGTAGTAACAATGGTTAGGCATTATATACCGGTTGAAAAGTTTCCATCCGTGTGGTGTAATATTTAGTTGTTAAGAACGTATAACCTGCTTATATATATGGTTTATGTATTGAACAATACCAAGTTCAAGTAATAACACAATTCAAAAAGTATATTTCAATTTCTCGCTTTGTTAAAAGATAATTCAGAACAAAATACAAGGGTATTATATTTTGAATTTTTGCATGTTAAAATGGTTCTGTGATTGTGAAGAGAAAGAACAAAGGCAACAGAACTTAGCCAGGGTAATTGTTAATTTTGGTATTTTCAAATTTCCATTGGCACTTATAAGAGTCGCGCGCGCACATTGATAGATGAAAATATATAGTAGGTTAATACTCTATCTTTATTAAATGCAAGTAAATTTTAATCAACCTGTAGACACTTTAAGAAATTGGTAATTAAATATAAAAATTATGTTTAAAATTAAAAAAGCTGCACTAAAATATCTTGTAATTAATCTTTAACATGCAAAAAAAAGTGTGTCTCATGAGATATAAGTTGAGAAAAATGTAATAAATGCTTATTAAAATTTATAATTTGTTTATATATATATATATATAAAAGCATACAACAATTTCGTCTGTGTCTGTAATAAAAAATGGAGGAAGTACATCATATGAATTTCGCTTCACTACATTCGTGTCATATATTGTCAAAATTGACTATGGACAACAGTTGAATATTTCAGGGATAATATTATTGTCATAAAGATTGAAGGATGGATGAACACCACAAAATTATATTCATGATAGTTGGTTGATGTGTCATGTCCGGTTAAATTGCAATACAAATCACATGCAATTGCATCCCAGATCAATCAAGGGCAGTTCTATTGATACGCCTTCTTATCGCTAGAGCTAATATTAGTTTCCAACGTATATTTAAAAGGAACAATTTATAATTATTTACATTATTACTTTTGAATCTATTTACCAATAAGTGACAACCTCCAAAGGGGAAAAATACTCCTCACTCCACCACGAATTTCAGACAAAAGAGCGTGCGTGTCAACAGGAAATAAAAAATAAAAGCTTCTTCTATTTTGTGGTCTCTTTCTCCGTCCGCAACAAACGTAATGATCTCTTACAGTCACTACCATGAGTCCATGGCCATGAACATCTTTCCGAGAGGGAGTGATTCTGATTTTCCTATAGTCATTGACCGCCTTGTTATTTTCCTATCTCGATTCTCCCCCTCGGTTTTCAAACTCCAACATGCAATATACACGTATATATAATAAAAATGCAATAAATAATACAGTACAATGCATTTTCTGGAACACAGAGCCCCAGGACCCTGCTAACCAGATTCCTTTTTCGACCTAACCCCGAGATTGATCAGATGCTGTAATTCGCAACCAGAGTTACACATTACTATATAAAATCACGGAAAGAGGGTGTCTCCATTTCTCTTCCCTCCATTTCCCTTCATTTCTCTCCCATCACCTTTTGATCAAAAATTTAATGGTTCAGATTGAGGCTTTAATAAAATTATTATTTTATTTTATAAAAAGGTGTATAAATAAATTTAAATTATTAAAGTTTAATCTAAATCATTTAAAGTTATAATATTTTATTTATATATTTTATATAAAATTAAAATAATAATTTTTTTAAAAATTAAATCTAAACCATTGAAAAAGTTTAATCCAAAGGTGATGGGGAGGAATGGAGGAAAATGGAGGGAAGAGAAATAGAGACACCCTCTTTCCATCAAATCACTATATCTCTCTTTCAAAACTCATGCTCCTTACTTCCTTTGACCACTGGTCTAACAACACACTCTCCTTCATCTCTCTCTAGTCTCTATATATGCTCAGTCTCCCTGCGCATGCTTTGATATCCCGCGAAGGAAGTTGCTTATACTGGAGTCTCGGGCTTAAACGACATTGACAGTTCCTCGCAACATGATAAAGAGAAAAGGGCCCATAAAAAGTTATTGACACCTTATTGACTTCCCCGCTTAACCCAGATCTCCTTATTAATGGCATTGAGGCACGAGTCAGTCTGAAATCCCTTTTTGAAACCCACAAACGCCTTTAGTGCTCAGTTCGGGAGCTTGTGTTTGCGAGGTTGGTAATGGCGGAAGCTACAGAGCCTAAAGCATTGCCGGAGGCTGAGAAGAAGAAGGAGCAGAGTTTGCCGTTTTACCAGCTATTCTCTTTTGCAGATAAGTATGACTGGCTCCTCATGATCTCTGGGAGCTTAGGAGCAGTCGTTCATGGCTCATCCATGCCTGTTTTCTTCCTTCTTTTTGGTGAGATGGTCAATGGCTTTGGCAAGAATCAGATGGATTTGAAGAAAATGACTGAAGAAGTATCAAAGGTTCGAATTTTATCAAGCTTCAATCTTTGTAGCAAATTTCTCTCGGATCTCGGATCTTATAGTTTCTTTCTCTTCTTTCTGCTGATCATCACTGCAGTATGCTCTGTTTTTTGTGTACCTTGGCCTCGTCGTTTGCATATCATCCTATGCAGGTATGCCATTTCATCTCGCTGTTAGGCCGTAGCTTGATCTGAGTACACAGTTCACTTGGAACGGGTGGGTGTGAGCCCACTTCCTTTTCTTCTTTCACTTGTTAATCTCAAGGCTTCGATTTTCCTGCTTAAGCTGCATATCTATATCATTCTATTGTGAATTAATGGCCTTGATGCGCATAGTTTCGCCTATTTTTTTTTTTCCAGAATAGTTTCGTCAATTAATTATCAGCAATAACTGAATTGCCCTGCTCTAAAATTATGGAAAAAAGTTTGGACCTTTTTGGTATCCCGATAATGGATTCTCTTCTACCAAATTTACCAGAAATTGCATGCTGGATGTTTACTGGGGAGAGACAAGTAAGCACGCTGAGAAAGAAGTACTTGGAGGCGGTGCTTAAACAGGACGTTGGGTTCTTTGACACAGATGCAAGAACAGGGGATATCGTTTTTAGTGTCTCTACTGACACTCTGCTCGTTCAAGATGCCATTAGCGAGAAGGTTCCATAATTTACCATCTTTCTCTTCCTAGATTTTTTTCCTGTTTCAGTTTTCCTCTACCATTTGAGTTAAAAGTCAGAACTCAAAATCAAAATATGCTCTCTCTCGAGTTGTTGGTTGCCCATAAAAGCGGGACCCATGTCATGCACTCCCACATGCCTCTGATGCTAGCATAGGAAGGCGCACTTTAGCTGCCACAGTTTAATGTGCGCCAGGGATGTAAATTGTAGCCAGAGGTTGCAGATGACTGAATCCTTTCCTAATTCTGTTATACTCTTTTTTGGTTTAATATGTGTAAGTCGGAATGTGCAGGTAGGGAACTTCATACATTATCTGTCAACGTTCCTAGCTGGTCTGGTGGTTGGTTTTGTGTCAGCATGGAGGTTAGCTCTTCTAAGCGTTGCAGTGATTCCGGGCATTGCTTTCGCTGGTGGGTTGTATGCATACACCCTCACAGGCCTCACCTCCAAGAGTCGCGAATCCTATGCAAATGCTGGAATAATCGCCGAGCAGGTCAGGAGTTCGTTCCTTTTATTGCACAAACTCATTCGAAAAGTACTTTTCAAGTTTCTTCTGTGTTTTCTCAATTCAATTTTTCTTTCTTTGTCCTGTGCTATAATGTTTGCGTAGAAAATATTGCTTTCTATTGTCACTCTAAGACGTAGGTAGATACAGCGCTTTCTTGTAAGAATGGCTTGATAAATTTGCATTTCTATCAATCTGTACATGTTCAGGCGATTGCTCAAGTTCGAACTGTGTACTCGTATGTTGGTGAGAGTAAAGCCTTGAACTCTTATTCTGATTTGATACAAAACACTCTGAAGCTCGGATACAAGGCTGGAATGGCTAAAGGTTTAGGCTTGGGATGTACATATGGGATAGCTTGCATGTCATGGGCATTAGTGTTTTGGTATGCTGGAGTGTTTATCAGGAATGGCCAGACTGATGGAGGAAAGGCATTCACTGCTATTTTCTCTGCCATTGTTGGTGGCATGTAAGACCCTCATATTTCTGTTTAGCGACTCTGAAATTTTTTCGGAAATCCTCATTTAATAATAATAACAATAACAATAGTGATAATAATGTAAAAATACTTTTCTTTGTACAGGAGTCTAGGACAATCATTTTCAAATTTAGGGGCATTTAGCAAAGGCAAAGCAGCAGGGTACAAATTGATGGAAATCATTAAGCAGAAGCCCACCATAGTGGAAGACCTATATGAGGGGAAGTGCTTGTCAGAGATAAATGGCAATATTGAACTTAAGGATGTAAGTTTCAGCTATCCGTCAAGGCCAGATGTGCTCATCTTCCGCAGTTTCTCAATCTTTTTCCCTGCGGGCAAAACTGTAGCCGTTGTTGGGGGTAGTGGCTCGGGGAAAAGCACCGTTGTTTCCTTGATAGAAAGGTTCTACGATCCTAATGAAGGTAACAAAACATGCTTTTTTTTTTTGGGTCGAAATATTGCAAGTTTTGCTTCAGAATGAATTTATTGCTGACATATTTCTTCGAGTTGCTGTGCAGGGCAGGTTTTGTTGGATAACGTGGACATCAAAACGCTACAATTAAAATGGTTACGTGATCAAATTGGGCTGGTGAATCAAGAACCTGCACTTTTTGCGACCACCATACTTGAGAATATACTCTATGGGAAACCTGATGCAACCATGGCTGAAGTAGAAGCGGCTGCTTCTGCTGCAAATGCTCATAGCTTTATCACGTTGCTTCCTAATGGGTACAACACTCAGGTTGGTACATAAACTATTGCGAATTCAGTCTGAGCATTCAGTGCATGTTAATGATATAAATCAATTCTGTGTTACACACAACAGGTAGGTGAGCGAGGAGTCCAGTTATCTGGAGGTCAAAAACAGAGAATTGCCATTGCTAGAGCTATGTTAAAAAACCCCAAGATCCTTCTTTTAGATGAAGCAACAAGTGCTCTTGATGCTGGTTCTGAAAGCATTGTTCAAGAAGCACTTGATCGTCTCATGGTTGGTCGTACGACTGTAGTTGTTGCTCATCGTCTATCAACCATAAGGAACGTCGACAGCATTGCAGTTATACAACAAGGGCAAGTTGTGGAGACAGGAAGTCATGAAGAGCTGATTGCCAAAGCAGGGACCTATGCTTCACTAATACGGTTCCAAGAAATGGTTGGAAATAGAGACTTCTCCAACCCGTCGACTCGCCGGACACGTTCATCACGACTGAGCCATTCACTCTCAACCAAGTCTTTAAGCCTCCGGTCTGGAAGTTTGAGGAACTTGAGTTACCAATACAGCACGGGGGCAGATGGGCGCATTGAGATGATATCAAATGCTGAAACAGACAAGAAGAATCCTGCTCCTAATGCATACTTCTTCCGTTTACTCAAGTTAAATGCCCCTGAATGGCCTTACTCATTAATGGGAGCAGTAGGATCTATTCTATCTGGGTTTATTGGACCGACTTTTGCCATTGTTATGAGCAATATGATCGAGGTCTTTTACTACAGAAATTATGCGTCCATGGAGAGGAAGACTAAGGAGTACGTCTTCATATACATTGGAGCTGGTCTTTATGCCGTTGGCGCATATTTGATACAGCATTACTTCTTCAGTATTATGGGTGAAAATCTCACTACAAGGGTTCGAAGAATGATGCTTGCTGGTATGATATAATCTTTTTGTTGATATGTGATTGTTCATGATTTACCTTCTCGCTTCTCTGCTTTGAACTCTTAAAGTGCTTGACAATTTGTGTTATTTTTTGTTTGGTCAGCAATTTTAAGGAATGAAGTTGGATGGTTCGATGAGGAGGAGCATAATTCAAGCCTAGTTGCAGCTCGCCTCGCCACTGATGCTGCTGATGTGAAGTCTGCTATTGCTGAGAGGATCTCAGTGATACTGCAGAATATGACATCTCTTCTCACATCTTTCATTGTTGCTTTCATTGTGGAGTGGAGAGTTTCCTTGCTCATCCTGGGAACCTTCCCCCTTCTTGTTCTTGCCAACTTTGCTCAGGTAAAACTCAGTACCATATCTCTATTAATTTCTCAAACTTGGCAACCGCTCATTTGAAATGTGTTGACACCTAGAAAAAAACTTGGGTTAACACTCTAGGTTATTTCCCTTCTTTTATAAAGATTCTTACTGGTGTCAGATCCCTACACTTGCTTTTCCTCTCAGAATATAACTTTATGAACAAGCTGGCATTAAACGACAAACAATAAGGTCTGACCATTGTTGAGCAGTGCACATGCTTCCCTCAGTCAAGTCACCAGTGCATTAACTCTTAGGAAATTCCTAACTATATTATAAGTTCATACATAACAGTGCAAGTTTATTATACCCTATATTCCACCACTATCGTCAGTTTCAATGCCCACTGAAACTAGTGTTTCTCTAGTTGCCCCAATCTGTTTTTCCATCACCAATAATCCGACTATCCGTTCATTAATTTTTGAACAACATCAACTGGAAATATTAGTCAAACAGAATTTCACACATTATGTTAAAGCTAATTTCTCACACGTGACATTGTTTTTTTTTTCCTGGCTCGATCTTATTATTTAATTTATGAAATTACTCTTTTGTTCCTTGCCATGGCATTTTATAATCTTTTGCCGTGGCTGTCAGGGATGACAGACAGTCACAATGAATGTTCCTAACCTGCGCCTGGATGTGCAGTACTCCCTCGCGCCTTGGTTTTTTTTAATCCTTTATTTTCTGGGCATGTCCTCCTTTACCTTTACTTTCCCTTCTGATTCAGGATTTGAATCTTTTGAGTTTCCGAGAATGGGTTTTGTTTTCTAACCACAGTACAAGCATTGAAGCAAATTCTGAAACCATTGATGATTTGTCCTGTAACGGACACTGTTCTAAGTTTGCGCATGCATCAAGAACAGTGCAAGAAATAGATTGATTGGTCAAGGATGTACCCTACGAATTTCCTTTATCAATGTCATTGTTTAAAAAATTATTCTCATGCATGTATGTGTCCATGTTAGCTGAATCATCTGCCATCCCGAAGGCCCTTCTGCTTCAATTTTTTTTTGTGGGTCCCCTTTTTCTGGATTATTTTTCACCATATTATTATCTTTAACAGTGCAATAATTGTAGGTCGCATCATCAAATCTTTTCCCAACGCGGCCAAAACTTGTCCTCCCCAAATTAATTCACCGTTGGGTGTTATAGGAGTCTTGCCTGCTACCAACTTAAATTTTCTAACATATTTAACGATTTAAATAGATGAAAATTAAATATATATTAATTTCATTTGTGGGGTATGTAATCTTTAGTAAGGATGAATTGATTACTTCGTGAGTTAATGGTGGGGTGCTAACAATGAATTTTTCTATGTTGAATTCCACAGCAACTCTCTCTGAAAGGGTTTGCTGGAGACACAGCCAAGGCTCATGCAAAGACAAGTATGATAGCCGGGGAGGGAGTCAGTAACATCAGAACGGTCGCTGCGTTCAATGCCCAAAACAAGATCATTTCTTTATTCTGCCACGAGCTTCGTGTCCCACAACGCCGGAGCTTACGCCGGAGCCAAACCTCCGGCCTCCTATTTGGCCTCTCCCAGCTTGCCCTTTATGCCTCCGAAGCTCTCATCCTGTGGTACGGTGCGCATCTTGTCAGCAAAGGCATGTCGACCTTCTCGAAGGTCATAAAAGTTTTCGTGGTCCTAGTTATCACAGCTAATTCCGTCGCAGAAACCGTTAGCCTCGCTCCCGAAATAATCAGAGGCGGTGAAGCCGTTGGTTCTGTCTTCTCCATTCTCGATCGTCAGACTAGGATTGACCCAGACGATCCCGATGCCGAGCCAGTTGAGTCCATTCGCGGGGAAATTGACCTTAGACATGTTGATTTTTTCTACCCATCACGACCTGACGTAATGGTGTTCAAGGATCTTAATCTTAGAATCCGTGCAGGGCAGAGCCAGGCTCTCGTGGGAGCCAGTGGGTCGGGCAAGAGTTCTGTCATTGCACTAATAGAGCGTTTCTATGACCCCATTGCTGGAAAAGTCATGATTGATGGAAAAGACATTAAAAGATTGAACTTGAAGTCCTTAAGGCTAAGGATTGGTTTAGTGCAACAAGAGCCTGCTCTGTTCGCGGCAAGCATTTTCGACAACATAGCATATGGCAAGGATGGAGCAACCGAAGCAGAAGTAATCGAAGCTGCTCGTGCAGCAAACGTTCATTCATTTGTTAGTAGTTTGCCTGAGGGATACAAGACCCCAGTTGGTGAGAGAGGGGTTCAATTATCTGGTGGGCAAAAACAGAGGATAGCTATTGCGAGAGCAGTCCTTAAGGACCCCACAATACTTCTGCTAGACGAGGCCACGAGTGCGCTTGATGCTGAATCAGAGTGCGTCCTGCAAGAAGCACTGGAGAGGCTGATGAGGGGTCGAACCACAGTACTTGTGGCTCATCGCTTATCAACCATCAGAGGGGTTGACAATATTGGAGTGGTGCAAGATGGGCGAATCGTGGAGCAGGGAAGTCATGTAGAACTTGTGAGCAGACCAGAGGGTGCATATTCTAGACTTTTGCAGCTACAAAATCATATGTGAGGAGAGTTTTGGGTCCCTATAAGTCATTAACCTTGTGCTTTTCATTCTCTTTTAGAGGCAAACATTATGTGAGATTTGGGGTTTGCACTATGTACCTAAAAGACGAGTGCTCTAGTTCAAATGGAGTAGCAACCAAAAAGTAATATTAATCCAGTATCAATAGAGCATAAAAAGTTATCCATTTTTTAGCTGTTTGAGCCATTCTTAAGCCCCACTGTCACTTACCATGATGCGTCCCTGAGGAGGGTCAGGACTGCCTTTTTTGCTTTTTTGCTTTTTTGCTTTGCATGTGTTTTTGTTTCTTTGTGAGCATTTTTCAGTTGAAATATACACTAATCATCAAAGTAGCTTGGTGAGTGAGGTTCATTTATTCTTTGATTGTTCCAATAGAATGAATTTTAACTCAATTTCACCTCAGCAACATCATTTACAGGCTAATCTGTTTTTTTTTTAAATAAAGTAGTATTTTTCCTAAACTGATTCCACATTAACCGATGATTGTGAGGTTATTAACAAAGGGAATCGTCGCTCTTTCATGTACTCTTGTAGTTATCATCGGTATCGATTTGATTTTGATTTGAAGTAACAAGATAAGCACCATCGACATTCTGATGAGAGTGCAAGAAGTATCGAGCATGGCAAATATGGTCGACCAGCACAAGAATTTCAACATCTCAGAGCAAAAAGTTGGATGTTTCTTGCAGATTGCTCTTTACATATTCATTTCATAGTTTAATTGGTTTAGGAAAATCTTAGTTGGGAGAACAATGAATATAGATAGATGGAGACTTTTGGGATATTTTTGCACCAATTGATTCTTTGAACTTTCCCCCCTGGGGGACTAATAATGAAGGGGAAAAAGTTCTCTTCTGAGTTAAATAGATCAACTAGTTTTTTAAGATGCCAACCCTCTTGTCGATATGAATTTAAGATAACTACCTCATTTAACTTGTAACCCGTGATTTATTATTTTAAAATTCACAAATGGATAGTTGGATTTGACTATGAGCACACCTTTTTTTTTTTTTTGGGAGGGCCCCTGAGACGGCAGAGGCTCCTTTTAGCAAGCCGGAGACATAATCAGTGAAGGCAGATGGTCGGAATTATTGTGAAAAGCAAGGGATGGACACAACCTTATTTTATGCTTTGAAGACTTTGGAATGACCCACTTGATGCGGCCTAGAAGTTTTTCTCTTCTCTGCCTTCCTTTTCCTGAACCTTATTTTATATGAAGAACCTTTTTAATCATCACAACTAACAGATCTCACTTACAGAGTGGAACTATATCTCTTTTCCTTCTGCATTTTTAGGGGGAATAAGCATGGCCCATTTCTTACATAAACTTCTTTATCAGATTGATCAGATTTGCTTGCCAACTTTACCGAAACGGATGCTGCTACCATGTCCATATGTGTACTTTATCAACCTCAAAAGAAAACACAGAAAGCTCCATGAGGGCTTGGCCCCTCTGGGTTTGCATTTCCAATGTAATTGCTAGTGTCTCGTGGGGAAAGAAAATGAAACAATAATACAAATACCAAGACATAGCAAAGATCAATGATTAAAAAGAAATAAAGACAGGTGAGGAAATAGAGAGTTGATGCATCACATCAGAGTCCTTAAATGCCGAATCAGAATTGTGCATGACTGCAGGCTCGAGCATGTTAGGTACTGATACTTGCAGGGGGTAATTTACAGACACTTCATGAGCTAAGACTATATATGAGAACAAACGGTTCTCAAGTAAATAAATGTCCAAGAAGCAGGTAAATTCTGAGGTGGCACGTGAAAAATGTAACAAGCAAATGAGAGGTTTTCCTTGGCTGTGGACCGTGGTCATTCCAAAGAACACTGAACACCCTCCCACCAAATTTAGTGAAAATGAAATTTTACGCAGAACTGATGAAATGAATTTAGTCCTCCCTCTGATATATTTCGAGTGAAGGGAATCTACCTGAGCTGAATACTGTAGCTGACGAAATGAGTAAATCACCAGTCTGTGTTATACCGTACAGTTTTGTTTTCTGCTTCTTGTCTCTCTATAGGAGGGAAATATTCAGCTGCTTCCGGCAATGTCAAGTTCCTTATGCATAGTCACAGTACTAATCTTTCAATCACAGGCTGGGGGATCAGGCCAAAGGCAAAAAAAGATCACATGCTGGGGAATGTGTAGTTGAAAACTAATCAACGAGCTCAAGTTACAAATGTAATCACCCAATTAGCTAATGTTTAAGAAGAAAGATTTAAGATGCTAGATGCATATGGTTCAAAAGGGCATGGTCGTTCAGCTTCTGTACAGGAAATTGCAGTCCGCGTGGGTGGGTCCTCTACATCTACAAGTTAGATTCTCAGAGGGTACATGTACAGTATTTTAAGACAGCCTTTTATGAGGGTAGTAGTGACAATTGAGTCTACTGTTTTTGACCATTAGTCTGGGGAAGTTCTGACTCTGAAGACTCCAGCGAGCCAATGTCTGAACCACCTTGGCCAAAAAGGAAAAAAAAAAATCGAAGTTTGAGCGATGGCCATTCTTCTTGTTCTATGTCTGGGATTTGGTAATGAACAGTGTTGCTGCCATTGCAGGCTTGAAGAAATTTTAAGTCATAACAAATAATTACTGTTCTGGCTTACCAAAGCACTGGGGTCACCGGTTTCACCTCAGTTTGGCTTTTCTCATTATCTAGTCACAGAAAGGGACCCTCCGTGACAATTTCTTATGACGTGAAGCTACTTGATTTAATTTCCTGACTCTTCTGCTCTCACTCTGACACTTTCCTGTGAGATAGTGCGAGTAATAAAGGCTATTGCTGGGGACTTATTTCATTCAAAAAACTTTATACAAATTTTGGATACGAAGACAGCAATTTCAATATAAGAAACTAGTTTTGCTTCATAAACAAATGAACGAACAGTTCTATGTCTACATGATAGAGGAACTGAGTTGAGCGGTGGAACCAATGTGTTTTCTCTATTATTAGCGAACGACCAATAATTGTACTAAGCAGGGACTCAGTGTTGGATTTATAGATAAGATGTGTAGGATTCATAAAGTGACGCACATGTGAGAATAAGAACCTCGTGTTGAGTCGGTGAAATCTTGTGTAAAGATTGCGCGTCGCTTCGATTTGTTCAGAGTTGTCTAATTGCTGGAATGAACAGCTTAACGATAATGTGCTGTCTCTACATGTATGGGGTTTTCTAAATTTGATGTAACAACATGACCAAACCAGCTTATACCATTTATCGTAAGATTTATTTAGCAGTTGTCTTTCATTACTATAGCCACCGTAGGAAAAACAACCTCCTGGTTTTCTTCCTTGCATTGCAGGTAACCATTCTTAGTTCTCGTAGGCAGGAGAAATGAATATAATATAATTGCACCTTTACAAGATAAAAGTATAGCCCAAGAGTATATAGATGGTTGATTTCACTCCAAGCCCAATGAGCTCTGTTGGGCCTACTACACCGTTTGGGTGTTGGGCCTATGTAATTCTTAAGGAACTCTCATTCTGAAATCTTCATGAGTGTGGACTTTGTATGTAGGTCCAGTCAGAAGCGTAACACATAAACTTGGCGAAAAGTTCAAGAACCCCACGAGGGCTTGCCATTTTAATTTCAAGTGATAAACAGGACAACATAAACCTTTAGGTACCGCGCTAATTGAGGGTCTACAAAAAGAGCGTATCATCTACGTACCATTGATTAGTGGGCACGAGAAAAGTGAGTACGTGGTAACTGTTTAATGTGCCAAAACAGTAATATACGTGAAGAAAAAAGTGCTCGGTCTGATAGGATCGTGGGTGTGTTTCTTTATTATTAGACAGCATGACCTTGGAAAATGAGAAGTAGCCAAAAGACTCAGAAAATTGGGGAGTGTAAAGTGATTCTCAAAAATCAAAGTGAGGACCGATTTAACGTGAACGGTGAGATGGAGGGATGGAGCATAGGTCAATGTAGACAATGATATGTGGGATCGATACAAGAATCTTGTGGAGCTCAAGGGCAGCTTTAGTTCCACGAAATCCGTTGAATCTTTAGGTCGTCCCAAGAGTGAGTCGGATCATCAATACTTGTGTGTTCCCAAAGAAAATAAAGTGAATCAACAATAATTTGGCTTCAACAACTCTGACCCATATGATTAAGACAAAATTTAACTGAATGTCGGAGGTTCAAAAGTTCTCCTTAATCTCCTAGGTTTACTCTTAATTATGAGGAGGCGAAATCATCAAAAGTGTTCAAGCGTGGCGCTAATTAGCCCTTGGAATGGATTTGGATTTGGAAAAAGAAGGAAGAGAGAATGGGAGACTTCAATTAATTTCTCCGGATTCAAGCAAGTAAAGTGGGAAGTACGCATGCATTGTGGAGAGGAGGCAAGGGCTGTGTGCTTGTAAAGTGCTTTTGAACTTTGCTGTTTTTCTTTTTGAATCTCTGATTGTTCATCATGCATTCCAACAGATTTCTAACTTCCAACTTCTTGTCGGGTTTAGACGTGTGAGTCTACAGGATCATGTGGTTGCCCCTTTTTGACTTTAAAAGTTAAAACTAATAAATAAAACCAAAAATTAAAGTGACCCGTTTCATGCTTGGAAATTTCCAGCGGGACCGGACTATATGTTTCTAGAATAAAAAATATTGCAATTCAAGAATGTTTAGACAAAAAGGTTCTGATTAGGAAGTTCATAATGGTGGTCGATCAATTTATTACTTGTAATTATTTTTTTTGTTTAATGCTCTCAATTTTTTCTTTTTAAAAAAACATTTGCACGATATCCATATGGCTTTGAAGGTTTTTTTTTTTAAATGACAAAAAAAGTGCTTGTTAAAGATTAATGAGGCTAAAAAAAAAAATTGAGGTCCCGCCTGGTACTCCACAATTTTGGCCTTAGAATTGAAAATAAAATTCAAAAAATTGTTAATTTGATAGGCTAGAAATCAATTTCATGTGGAGCTCAACTCCACTAAAATTGTTGTTGGCTTTTATCACAAAAACTCAGTTTTTCAATTCCATCTTTCCTTCTTCATTTTTTTTTTACCCTTTCCTCTCTTATCTAGCTCTTGTCAACCTTTTCATTGTTAGTGAGCGTCTCAGTACTGGTAACCTCCAGCAACCAATGCTGGCGACCTCCAACAACCATTAATGACCTCCATAACATTCCTACAAATAGGAGACAGAGAAGGATGATTCAGA